AGGGGACTCGAACCCCTGACCGTTAGATTAAAAGTCTAACGCTCTACCAACTGAGCTAACGAGGCCCCAGCGACATTTTCTTTGTGGCGCTACAAAACGGAGCATTCAACGTGATGTAACGGCAAATTAAAAATACATTTTCCTAAGATCAACCTAGTGAATTTCAGTCCAATAAATAAGAATATGTTTTCTTCAGTTTTAGTTCCCCACCCATCCACTCTTGTTTTAAATTATGATTTAGCAATTTTCGATTTAAAAACTAACTTTCTGGATTTGCTGCAAGTGCTTGTGCTTGACGTAGTTTCATATCAGCTTCACTGGAATGTCCTGATGGTAATGGAGAACGCATCGATGAGTACATACTGTCCACGGATTCCATTGTTCGGTCGGTCATCATTGAGCCGGTGAAGTCGCATGACTAAAATATTAGAATATATAGAAGATACAGTTTTTTGCAAATTTGTTCAAATTCGCAGCTTGGCCGGCAAAAAAATGAAGTGGAGAGATGTTTTTAGTTAGAAAAACATTTGACTGAAGTCACTTTCACTTCAACTTAGAGACACTTCAACAGTTTCTTCTGTAAAAACGGCAAATAGAATGTGAACTTATAAGGATATTAAGTGACCTTGGCTGTGCAAATTAAGAGACCATTAGATGCATACAAAACGCTGCTTCAATCTGCCTTATTTATCTGCTGCAAAATTCTCTAAAGAAAATCATAACAGTTTCTTTCCGCAAAACACTTGCGCGTACGATTGCACCATTCATTGTTCGAAATCTCAAAAACACCTAATAACAGAGCAAAAAACTCCTTTTGGTCGCAACACTATCAACACTGAGCTTGCACGTCATTGCTTTAGGTGAACCCTGAGTATTCGAGCAACAAAAGTTCTTTTCTTGCAAAAAGCAATTTCCATAAAATTGTTCAAAAAATAGCGTTCAGCAGATAAGAGAAGATCTGAAATTAGAGGCCTGGTGCACATCTGGTGATATGGCTCTATTAAATGGCCGAAATCACTAGAAATCCTTCCCTTGTTAGTTCATCTCTTCCAGAATAGTTGTAAATGAACATTTAGAGGATAATCTGATCCCCATCAAACACATAACGATAACTTAAAGTTTTTTTTATCCGAAAAGTCCTTACGAAACTCAAACTCCTGCCATTAGATTTATAGTATGACACAAGCAACAATGGGATAGATAAAGATGATTCTAAGAAAAGAACTGTTGCATAAATTATGACAAATATACGAACACTGGGGATTTCACAGCATTTTTAAACAGTTCACCTGTCTTATTGTGCTGCAGAATATCACAAAAAAGAAGAAATTTTAAAAAAAGCTTAAAATTTTTTTTGTTCAATTGTTTGTAGAAGGCTGCCACGTTGTATATATAGGAAAGCAAAAATGCATGAGATACTGCACTTATGCTTTTTTTGTGCAACGTTACAAACGAAAATCTCAGAAAAGTTCACAGAGAGACTTCTAAGCCATAATTTATGCAGTTCAATTTTTTTAGCATTCCAAGCTTGCCCTTTTTGTGTGATACCTGCAACATCTCATCAATCTCCTCAATGACTTGGTCAGCTGTTTGTGGTGGTGAGTCGCCCCCGATAGAGCCATGTGCAACTAGCTGATGCATGTCCATTCTTGCTCTTAGGTCTTCCTCATCTGACAGCGAAACTCCACCATCATCGCTTAGCTAAAAAATCAAAAATAGAAACCTTAGTTAATTTCCGTAGACGGGTTGAGAAAGCGGACTAGTGAAAGGCAGAATGGATAGATCGGTGAAATCAGAATAGTCGAAAGTCAAAGGAGTGGGTGAGAGAGATTACTCTCACCCCCAAAAGCAGAACGATATGTCCTCCGAGAAGCGCTTGCGAACCCTGGATTAGTGTCGTTATCTATGCATTTAGCTGAGTAATGCCACTACCAAGGAAATACATTTTCGGACGAACAATTGCCGTCAGAGCTAGGTATCTGAGTTAAATTCAAATACTGTAGATTGAGTTAGTGTATTATTAATTTTGTTTTCATCACTTCGGATAAAGAGTTGGATAGAATAGATTCAGAGCACATCAAAGTAAGATAATGAACGCATAAATAAGAGTATGAACCTTTTAAAAGTTAGGAATTTTTTTAAAATAAAGACATGCTCACTTGTCCCTAAAGGGACCGAGGAAAAAGGATTAGGTGGAGAAGACTTTCCCAAGTATCCTACTCAGGTGCAATTTCAACTAAAGCCATAAGTACGGTTGTTTATGTGAAAGACATTTAGTTATTCAAAAAAGATTTGAAAGAGCTAACTCAAGCTGTTTCCAAGAATTCTATGTAACATTTTAGAAGATAACAGAGACGTCGACATTATAGTTCCTGGCCATCACCTACACAAAATTCATAGAAGGTTTCATTTGATGTTTAGGGTGACCAGCAGGTAGCCAAGCATAGTTTTCTGTAGGGAAGCTTTCTCAAACTCTCAAAGGTGAACGAAAGGCCAGTCAATGCATATATTCTGTACTACGACTTCTTCTGAGTATAGCCTGAAAAGTAGGAATGGGTTGCACTAAACTCTGCTTATTCGTTCGCACAACTTCAACCCTCAAGTACGCCTATGTCTAGGAGCTGACCAACAAGGACATGTAGGTCTTCATAAAAAGGAGAACAGCTTCTTCATAGATATACCTGGTTTCGGATAACCAGCTCTTAGCTAACTTTATATTGAAAAAGGAAAAGGCTATCGAAAGAGAAACCTTAGATAAGCAAAATTTTTTTTACTTTGGAAACATCTGCAAATTTCCCCTTTAAATAAGACACTTTGTAAAAAGTGCCTTCAGTTTCAATCACTGTTTTTTTTTTGCTAGAAATGCTTAAGTTCTCGAATTTCCAATGCAAGCATTAGCAATGCTTTCAATGTCTCAGAGGACGTCTTTAACGGGGCAACAGAAAAAAATTCAGCGTCAAATTTCTTTTTTTTTTCTTGCCCCATACATGTACTAGCAAAGGAGCAACCAAAGCATGCAAATGACTCCCAACGGTTTATCATTTCAGGCGTTCATAGAACTCTTCCTTTGTGTGGATCGATGAGGTAGAGAGCTATAAAAAGCTAGAGAAGCCTAGGCGAACGCATGAGTGAGGACTAGCTATTGAGTTTTCAGAAACATTACGAAATACTCTTGCTATAGTTTCGAGCTTATAAGGTTTCGAAATATATCAAAGTCCAGAAAGTCAGGGAATATGCTTCACTACAGAACTAACGATCGTTTAGGAAAAGATGGTACAGTAAGTACGGACTGCTCGTTTTTTATTTGAAAAAAAGAATTGCAGTAATTTCGTTCGTCAAATTTGCCCTCATGACGTAACAAGGCTAAGGTACCCACGGACTTCGCAAAGTTATGAAAATGAGGACTACTGTAAATTCTATGGCTATCACTTATAACCACTTTAACAATCACACAAAGTGAAGAAGAAAGGTCATTGGTTTTCTATGCACACTATTATCAACTAAGAAAAGTTAGAAAAATCACATGATTTCGTTCATCAATTTTGTTATTCAAAAAATGCATAGTTTTGAATTTTTTATGATCAGTAATTCTATTTTCCAAAATTTAGCGTGTTTATCTCTAGTTGGTTTCGCCAAAAAGCAAAATCTCTGAAAAATAAGCCTCATATGTAGCTTCATGATGTTTCTGAGCTAAAAATCAAGCTATGCCTCACTATAGCTAAAAGCAAAAAGAATGAAGCATGCTTTGTGTTCTTCCCATTTCACACTAAGTATTTAGTGGAAAATTGAGGTAATGGACAGCGAGCAACTATTAATTGGATTATATCGCCAAAGTCTTATGTTTATACCGCACCTGATGCTACAGGGTTCAGGAAACCTGTGGTAGGCTGATGGTATACTAACTTGAGTGATCAATTGTCCCCTCTGCCCAATCAGAAGAACATTATTATCTCTTGCAGGGTGATAGAACCAACCGATCAAAAAACAGCCATAAATCTACTAATTTTCATATCAACAACAACCTAAAGAACGACTTGGGATTTATTTAACTCGTCATCATATTGCCACCTTTTGATCCCTCGTGTTGTTATCGCGCTAGCTGTGCGGATATGATCCTTCTAAGCATAAACAATTGAAGAGACGGATGGTCCCCCTAGGCC